GGATGAGACAGCTTAGGTACATGTTTACGGATGAGACATCTTTAGATATATGATAACATAAAAATAATTACGTGTATAACAGCTTTTATGTACTTCTACCTTTTCGTTATTGTTAGTTTTCTCGCTGCTTATCGCACTCTTGAACATTTGGGGTCCAGATGTGCATAATTTCTGCGTCAAGGGTCCGAGCCTGGGGCTTCATGACTCTTTTCATACTTTATTACCCTTTTCCGCTGTCTCTCAACTTTCCTATGCCCTCGTGTTTTCTCTCCCTTTATCTTTTACTTTTCTACGTCTATCCTTATCCACCGAACCGTGTGTAACAGTTATTACATGTATCTATTGCGTGTGCGTATGTGCGGTACGAATTCGGCGTATCGCAAAGGTGAAGAGTACGAAATGAATATTGTTCGAGAATAATCTCGAAGGTGCGCGAAGTCGATGCCTTTCCGATCGCGCATCGACAGCGCCGCCAGTATGAAGAACGAAGAAACTGCCGGTCGGCGACAGACCGGCATGAGTCCGTTACGAATCGTCGCGTATTATAGACGTGTCGAAATTTAGTTCGCGCCTTCCGCTCGCGGAATCGAAGTTCACGATTAATATAATCGTAGAACAGTCCGCGTGCACGATAAATAGTATCGTTTTGATCGATTGATCACGGGAGATCACGACTTAGTGAAAAGATCACGCGTATAAGTAGTACAGTTCAAACTCGTGTAAGGGCCACGTGCAGAACACGGTTTCTGCGACGCACGAGTTGACCGCGATTGTTCACGTTCATTAGATCACGACTTATTAGACGAAGTTTGTAAATAGGATAATTGTTAACGGTCCGGTTGTACATTGTATTTGACAACGAGCTGATTAGCTCACAATAAATGTTCTGTGTCGTAATAACGCATTGATATTAGCTATCCGACCCCGTCCATCAGGGAGGCTTGCGGAAAGCCAAAAAATCCGCAACATTTGGTCTTTCGAGCCGGATCATTAATAATCAGTGCGTGAACGGCTCTAGAACATTGTGGAAGTGCAAGTGACCGTTAGGACCACGTGACGATTTCGAGGTTAGTCCGCCATTAAACCTCTCTCTCTAGTTAGCGCTATCGGACCTCTCTCTCTAGTTCGCGCTATAGGACCTCTCTCTCTAGTTCGCGCTATCGGACCTCTTTCTCAAGTTCGCGCTGATCGAACCTTGCTCTTCAGCTCGCGGAATTGAATTTCTTGTTAGTTCGCGTCAATCAGACTACTCTTCCGAGTTCACATTCAAAGTGATCGCGAAGTGTCGTGTCCACGTGCCGAAAGATCGTGTGCGTGTAAAAGTGCGTTCTACGCCACGACAATCGGCAGATCACGTACCTTAAGAACGCGAAATTCGCGACTAGAACGACTTGACCACGTCTCGTGCGCGAAGATTTCGGTGTGTAGTGAGTTTTAGTTCACGTACGGGTATTCGAACATTTCAAATCCACCATGCCGAACAAGGAAGAGCAAAAACCAAGTGCTGAAGCTGAGTCGGCAAAGACCACGATAGTCGACGTTAGTTCAAAGAGTGAGATCGTGACAGAGACCACGACCGAGTCTCAGTTGGACAAGCCAGTGGAAACTCTTCCGGTGCCAGAGGCTCAGGCGACGCGTTCACGATCTGCATCTCCTAAGCGCGTGACAAAGGAGGTTCAATCAAAGTTGCGAATGCAACACAGGCTGCTCACGCAGTTGTGAGAAATCGCAGCAAGTGCTGAAGAGGACCCTGAGCAGCTCACGCCAAGCGCCGCAGACTTTCTCATGTCTGAGATGGAGCCATCGCACGCTCAATTCAATGCCGGGCATAATTGGCTTTTGGAAAACTAGGTCCCTGTATAGTAGGACCAAGGATATTCTCTGATTAATGGCCACGATAAGGAGGAAATGAAGCTTGTTCTGAAAATCAAGCGTCTCCTTGGTGCCGCCAAGGACAGAACAACTCAGACCACGCGCACTGACACTAAACAAAGTGTACATGGACCACGCTTGGCGGAGTTTTCAATTCCTTTGATGGCGATTATATGAAGTGGCCACTGTTCAAGGCCACGTTCAATACAGTGATTGGTCACCGACAGGACACGTCAGATCACGCAAAATTTCAATACTTGGTCGGTGTTCTAAAGGGAATTGCCGTTGACATGATTAAGGGTCTTCCCCCGTGTGACGAGTCTTACACCACGGCGATGGAGATGCTTAGCAGCCGATTCGAAAACAAGCGTCTCATCCTGACTGCTCACATCAAGAAATTGATGGCGTTGCGACCAATGACTTGTCGAAGCTCACGCAGCCTGGATGTACTCAACGACATCATCAGTGAGTACCTCCAAGTAGACCGCTCCCTAGGTTGCTCGAACTGCGATGACCACTTCCTGGTGTACATCGCCACCAGCGTGCTCGACAAGGAGAGCAGAGAGAAGTGGGAGTCCACGATTGGGAACACGCAATCATTTCCCACAATACGGCAGTTCACGAGCTGGCTTCACGATTGGATTCCAATCGTAGAAGGAATGGAGACTGAGCACCCGAACAAGCAGACTTCGACCACGCAAGTCCACTCTGCAGTGAGAAGTAGTTCTCACCAGATCACGACAGCTGCAGGAAGGGAGCAGGCTGTAACGACCACGCGATCGACGAGGCCACGCATGACCACGGTTAATTATCCGTGTGATTGCTGCGGAAAGGATCACTTTATCACTGCTTGCCCGCGTTTTCAGGAGCAGTCCACGTTAGAGCGACTGCAGACCGCGAAAAGGGAGTCGCTTTGTCTGAATTGTCTTGGCCATCATAATGTCCGTAACTGTCGAAGCGGCCAGAATTGTCAGACATGTCACAGGCGACATAACATGCTCCTGCACGGGTCCGACGTTTCCACCGTGTTTGGCCCGGGGCATGACCACTCGCAGCAGTCAGCGCTAAAGCTCACGCGTACTTTCGAAACGACAACGAAACAATGAAGGTACGCAGCAGTCATCAAACGAAGGAACACTCGAGCCCACTCCAGAAG